AACAAGAGCGAAACTCCGTCTCAAAAAAAAAAAAAAAAGAAATGAAAAATAAGTCCATTTTCTTCAAGGAAGTTAGAAGTAGCCAAAGTGACTCTTCTGCATTTGAAGCTTATCTGAACAACTTCCTTTCCAGGAGACCCTGAGGTAGGGAGCATTATAGGAAGCCTTAGATAAAGATCTCAGCTGTTTTTCAAATTTGGTGGATTATGTTACCAAAGAGAAGCCAATCTGTGGTTCCTGTGAACAGTTCCTCCCTTAGTGTAAATGTGCGGGCTGAAAATTAAGCAAAAAGTTCTCCCTTCCCACCTAATTTCTTCTTTGCTCTTGTCCTCTTCCTTTGGTCATTTCTCCCTCCCTGACTTAACCTTGAATTTTGTTCAATGCAGAATGCCTGGTTTCGGAAATCTCGCTTCAAAGGAGGGAAAGGAAAAAAGCTGAACATTGGTGGAGGAGGCCTAGGTTATAGGGAGCGGCCTGGCCTGGGCTCTGAGAACATGGTGAGTCCAGACTACAGTAGTTCCTTTAGGGTTGGTCCCATGTCCTGAATGTCATAAGGAATATTCTCATGTACCCAAGAAAGCTTCAGTGAGTTCAAAACCATGTCTAGGAGGAAATTTGTATTTAATCTGATTTGAGTCAGTGGAGCCTTAACTTTTTATTGAGGAAGCATTTTTTGTGTACTTGGCTGACAAGGCTTGCTCAGGAAATTATTCTAGATTAGCAGTGATCTCACATCGTGGTCCCTAGACCAGCAGCATATACAAACTCATCCCCAACCCCAGACCTTGCAAATCAGAAACTCTAGAGTTGGGGCCCAGGAGTCTGCTTTTACAAGCCCTTCAGCCCTGGCCTAAAAGCCTGCTGCTAGGGAAATATTGCCATAGGGTCACTGTAAAGTCTAGCCATATCTTGCCAGTAAACTCAGGAATGGGTCAGGAATTTCCAAGTCGGGAGCTAGTTTTTCCTCAGAATCCATAACAAAAGTACCCTTTGCGTAGCCTTTCTTAACTACCCGTTTTCTGTCCCTTTGACTTCTAAGCCAGGGAAGAAAGCTGCCAGTATACTTTTCTGGAGCATTATAGTTAAAACTTGGCATCTTTGATTCCCACATTATAGTAATAATGATGATTATGCATAATAGCTAATATTTATTGAGCACTTTTTACGTGCCAGGACCATTCCAGTCAATCCGATGTTTTAGCTCAGTTAATCTTCACAACAACCGAATGGAAGTTAGTACAGATAACAACACTGAGGCCCCTAAGGTTACACTAGCAAGTGTTGAAGCTGAAATTCAGTCCCTCCATGGTCTTGATTCAGGGCTTGAGCAGTCACACAATATGCTATACAGGTGGCCTTTTTATCTTTAACGTAATTTTTATATAATTGGATTTGTGTATGTAAATAATACATGGTCAACTTTGGGCATAATCTGATTGCATATCTGATTAACAGGATTAATTCTTAGAATTTCTGTGTTGAGGGCATAAACATTTTTAAATGATTGTCACTGTGTCTTTTTCTCAGAAAGCATAAGTAGCTTTCTAAAAGTATCCAGTTTCATTGTAGCTCCTGCTTCAAGGTTTTCCTTATAATGAGGCCCCATCTATGGCAGTGAGCTCTTTCCTGCTTATTTGTCCATCCTCATAGATATGCTTATCTTTTTAGGACCGAGGAAATAACAATGTAATGAGCAATTATGAGGCCTACAAGCCTTCCACAGGAGCTATGGGAGATCGACTAACAGCAATGAAAGCAGCTTTCCAGGTCTGAAATAAGCATTTGATTAAACACGCTTTCAATAGTAACTTTTGGGCAGTGACAAAAGGGCCTAGTTTTCCTGGTTGTAGCTGGGTTCGTAGGCTTGTTGCTAGATTTAGGGTCTTCACACTGCTTGGATTTTGAATATAAACTTAACAGTAGCTTACCTGGAGATGCAAGTTGATCTAGAGAACCCCTTGTGCTGGTCTGCTTGAGTCCCACTCAGAGCCTGGGATTGTCGTTCTGCAGCAGGATGTGTGTTCCCTCCCTTCCCAGCAGCCTGTGGTGTTGCCCACCTCCAAGGTGCTCACTTCTGAAGCAAAATGTACTGATAGTCACACTAAGGTGAATCGATAGAATGAGTTCAAGGCAGATTTGGCTGTCAAATTTAAATTTAGACTTTGGTGTAAAATTTTAAGTTTTCAGAACTTTTTGATTTTGAATGGTAAATAAGACTGTAAGCCACAAATGTGGCAAATCATAGATGCTTTATTCTAGTCGATCAGGCTATAAAAGTACATTTCAGAACACTGAGGTCCACCTCTCCACAGAGATCCACAAGTTTTCCTTTTTAGCACAAGAACAAAAGGGACCATGCTGTGGGGACATCAGGACACTAAAGTCACAGTGCCAAGATAGCATAGTTATAATTTCTCTAAACCTTATCATTTGCCAGGTTGTATATTCAAGTTTCTAGAACTTGCTGTCTTACCTACTCCTGATGTCTCTTTCTCTTTCAGTCACAGTACAAGAGTCATTTTGTTGCAGCCAGTTTAAGTAATCAGAAGGCTGGAAGCTCTGCTGCTGGGGCAAGTGGGTGGACTAGTGCAGGGAGCTTGAATTCTGTTCCTACTAACTCAGCACAACAGGGCCATAACAGTCCTGACAGCCCCGTCACCAGTGCCAAGGGCATCCCAGGCTTTGGCAATAGTGGCAACATCAGTGGTGCCCCTGTGACCTACCCATCTGCCGGAGCCCAGGGAGCCAACAACGCAGCTTCAGGGAATAACAGCCGAGAAGGGACTGGGGGTGGCAACGGGAAAAGAGAGAGATATACTGAGAACCGGGGCAGCAGCCGTCACAGTCACGGAGAGACTGGCAATCGACATGGTGACAGCCCACGTCACGGAGATGGTGGTCGCCATGGAGATGGAAACCGCCACCCAGAAAGCAGCAGTCGTCATACTGATGGCCATCGGCATGGGGAGAGCAGGCATGGAGGAAGCACAGGCCGGCATGGGGAGAACCGGGGTGCAAATGACGGTCGGAATGGGGAAAGCAAGAAAGAAGCTTGTAATCGTGAGAGCAAGATGGAGCCCAAGGTGGACAGCAGCAAGATGGACAAGGTGGACAGCAAGACAGATAAGACAGCTGATGGCTTTGCTGTCCCAGAGCCCCCTAAACGCAAGAAAAGTCGATGGGACAGTTAGAGGGGATGTGCTAAAGTGTGAAATCAGTTGTCCTTAATTTTTAGAAAGATTTTGGTAACTAGGCGTCTCAGGGCTGGGTTGGGGTCCAAAGGGTAAGGACCCCCTGCCCTTAGTGGAGAGCTGGAGCTTGGAGACATTACCCCTTCATCAGAAGGAATTTTCGGATGTTTTCTTGGGAAGCTGCTTTGGTCCTTGGAAGCAGTGAGAGCTGGGAAACTTCTTTTGGCTCTAGGTGAGTTGTCATGAGGGTAAGTTGAGGTTACCTTGGGAGAAAGGGCCTTATAGGGCACAAAACTCACTCTAGGTTTATATTATACGTAGCTTGTATTTTTTACTAAGGTGTCACCTTATAAACATCTATAAATTGAATTTTTTCTTAGTTGTGTGGCCCAGCAGTCCCATTTTTAGGAGTTGGCTTCTGTACACCTAATCCATTGAATTGTTGGGAAGCAGTTTGGTAGGTTCTAGACATTTGTGGGGAAGGGAGATGTTTGATTCTAAATGGGACTCGATGCTCAGGTCCCCAGCCAGGTTTGCATCCAGCCCTGAGACATGTAAGAAGCACCTTCCAGACCCAGGCTCTGAAGATTCCCAGAAGTCACAGGGATTGAAGGGAAAAGGTGATCCTGGTAACTGTTCCAGGATTACTCCAGGTCTGAGGTGGTGTTGCTAAATTTAAAATTAACGCAACAACAGCTTTTAAAGTGTCTTCTATTTCATTGTATTTTTTTTAACTTGCCCCAATGGTAGAAAAGTCTTTTGCCGAAATGATTTTGGTGATTTTTGTTCTATCTTGTTTATAAAAGGAAAAGAAATACACAAACTTTGACTTTTGTGACTTTGTGAAGGTTTCTTTAAGCTGTGCATTCCTTTCTGCTTGCTCTCTAGTAAATGTTTCACTATCGGGACCTGTGGATTGTTTGTCATTTCTGTCTCACTATGAATTTTGGTACATATTACACTGGGACTTAGAATAGTGTTGCACACGTGTGTACTCAGATGTAGGGAAATACTTATTAAACTGTAAGGAGAGACATCTCTTCCATCATCCTGGTTTTATTCAGGAATAGAATGGGGGAAGGCTTAAGAGGCCCACACGTCCAAGAATGGACTACATTTACACTGAGTGTGGCTCCAGGCTTAAGAGGCCTGGCCCACATGTCCAGGAATCATTGAGTGTCGCTCCAACACTGAACTTCCCTTTAATGGTTTAAAAAAAGGGGTCATGAGTCTGTCAAGACAGTTCGGTGCTTTCATGGGAGACCTCCCTTCAGGCAGGCAAGAGGACATCCTCCTCTGCTTGGGACCACCATGGAAGTTCTGGGCACCCTGCCTCACTGTTCTTTAGACAGCTGTGACGTGAGCAGGGGCTGGTATCAAGGGGGCCAGACTGAGCCATGCCACGCTCTTCCTCCTAGTCCCCATGCTCTCCTGGGAGCCTGGCAGCTCTGCTCACTTCCGTTTGTGTTTTTTCTTTTGTTCCTTACGTTGCTGTGCTCTTTGGTCTTTCTTCATCCTTGAGTCCACCACCTTGAAATGACCTCTGACTCCAGCTGGCCGGCGCACTTTGCGGCCCACACCTTTTTTGGCTACAACGTAGGTGACATGGCGTTTCTCCTTGCCAAGCCCAGCCTTCTTGTAGAGACTACAGAGGGAAGAGAAAAGGTTAGAAGCTTACTTTCTACTGCACTTTTAGCCCTGTGTACCTTTGTGGTGTCCTCCCGTTACCTTCGCAGCTGTGCCACCTTCTCTCGTTCGGAGATGTCCACTGTGTTCACCACGGCTTCTGCCTTTTTCCTGGTCTGTTCCAGCTTCTTCAGCATCTACAAAGGGATCTCAGTCAGGTGATCTCTTCCCTATCCCCAGCACTAACAACCTTTGGTGGCCCATCACTTACCCTCCTTTTCTTTCTAGCCTTAGCCTCGGCAACTTTCTTGATGGGACGTGCATTGATTTCCCGCCAGCGTTTCCGGTAGTACTCCACTTCCTTCTTACCAACAGGCAACTGTCGTATCCGGTGCTGCTTTTCCTCTTGCACAAACCACTCTGGAAGCTCCCCCTCATCCTCATTAAATGTGTACCTGAGGGGAAAGGACATCAGCCCAATACCCAATGCTCCAGGCTTTCTAAAGAAATTACCTGGTGGTGGTGAAATTAGCTGGGCATGGTGGCTCATGCCTGTAATCTCAACACTTTGGAAAGCCGAGGTGGGTGGATCACCTGAGGTCAGGGGTTCAAGACCAGCCTGGCCAACATGGTGAAACCCTGTCTCCACTAAAAGTACAAAAAAATTAGCCATGCATGGTGGTGAGCGCCTGTAGTCCCAGCTACCTGGGAGGCTGAGGCAGGAGAATCACTTGAACTGGGAGGCAGAGGTTGCAGTGAGCTGAGATGGCGCCATGGCACTCCAGCCTGGGCGACAGAGCAAGACTCTGTCTCAGAAAAAAGAAACTACCCATTTACCCACCAGACCCTGGGTCACTCTTGATGAGTTTCTGGCCCCTTTACCGGTTGAAGGAGTTATCTATGAGGTCTCTCTTGGCCTTTTTGGAAGAGGCAATAACAGCGCCTAGAGCAAGTCCTTCAGGGTCTAGTATCCGATGTTTCACTAAAGAGGGAAGGAGAAAGATCAAAGCCCGATTCCCAATACTGAGACTTCAGTGGTCTCTCATTCCACGATATACAGAGCTCACCTGGGTTCTCAATCGGCACGATCTCAAACCCGTCATCATCTGACTTAGGCCCACGGCTTCGCTTCTTACCATGGAGGGGTTCCCAGCTGTGGAGAGAGGAGGACTCTGAGTGATGCCACCACTCTCCCTACTACTGAGACCGCACTCCCACAGAATTTGCAAAAATCCTGCCAGCCAGACTGTATCCAAGACCAGTTGAATCAGGATCATCAGTATAGTATTTTTAACTCTCCCATCTGGAGCTAAGATTGAGAACCCCCAATTTAGAGAAATGGTTCAAGCCACTGCTTCCTATTACTTCTCTCATCAGCTACAACCACTCACCTCTCTTCATCCTCACTGCTACTACTGTTATCACTGTCTGAGCTGCCATCCTTTTCTTCCCCTTCAGGGCCAGTGGCAGCTTCTGTCCCTGAAGAAGCCTCTGTTCTGTTAGGGGTTTCATCCTGGCACATGGGAGACATTCTCTCAATCTTCAAGCTGGAAGGCGGTGTCAGTGGCTGTGGCTGCTGCTGTCCCTTCCACCGGCTCTTGAACAACAGCTGGGCCTGGCTGATCTCCAGGGCCTCGTCGGCATCGTCCTCAATCCCAGCAAAGCTGCCCTGTGATGGGAGACTGTCAGCTGCCCTTCTCCAAGGGAAGGCTGACCTCCCATCAGTCTTGCCTCCAGCCTCTTCTTACCTTTGAGAACCACAGGTTGGCTTGTTCTTCCTGCAGTACTGCCTTTTCCTCCAGTGGTACCAGCAGTGGATTCTCATTTTCCTCCTCTTGATCATCTTCCGCTTCAGCAAATCGCACACTGTAGATCCAAAGGAAAGTAGGAGGGGGCTCAGGGACCCAGAGTGCCTGGAGCCCTTGCTCCCTTACTTGGGCTCTGGCAGTACCCATCCAATGCTGCCTCAGAGTGGCAGCATTCCCTCTGGCACACACACACACACCCCTTACCCCTTTCCGTCCCTTTGACGCTGATGTTCCCTGACTCCTGCCAGCTCCTCTGGATCCAGGTCACTATCCAGAGATGTGTCGTCACTATCGTCCTCAACATCTGACACACAGATGTCATCCCTTGGCAGATTGGACAGAAATGTGTCTGCTGCACTCATGTCCCCTTGTGTTACTTCCTCTAATAACTGAAGTGTAACAGAAACAAAGAGGTAAAGAAAACATACTGTTTTTTTCTGTGTCCCTTACCTCAGTCTTGTTCTAAGCAACACTAGAAAGAACACTGGCAAATCCATTATCTCCTTTCACAGACGGAAAAGCTCAGACCCAGGGTAGTGAATGGCCTGTTACAACATCCTGTTCTAGGCGGGGTTACTCATCTCTCCCACTCAGCTGTCTTGTCTCAGTAGTAGCACAAATAGATCTTAAGGAAAAGTACCATAGCACCAAATCTTAACGTATTCTACAACACTGGTTTTCTTTTAAAAATTACTCTCAGATGGCATCTCAGTCACCTCCTGAGAAGACCATCTACACAATTTGTTTCCACTAAGTAAAAGGGGCCCAGCCAGCATACATTCAACAGAACTGTTCCACTTAAACCAACTGTCAGAATCTTTTATTTTCCTCATGGCAAAGATACTAGGCTTGGTATGGTGGCTTACACCTGTAATCCCAGCACTTTGGGAGGCTGAGGCAGGAGGACTGCTTGATGCCAGGAGTTTGAGGGTACAGTGAGTCACGATGGCACCACCGCACTCCAGCCAGGGTGACAAAGCAAGACCCTGTCTCAATAGAAAAACCCCAACTACTGTTTCTTGAGTGTTTATCACATAGGAGGGATTATAACTGACCATCTTTATTCCTTACAAAAACTCTAGTAGGTAGGTTCTATTATTGTTTTACAGATGAGGAAACTGAGGCAGCAAGGATAAGTGATAGTTCAGTCACTTTACACAGCTCCAGGTGGTAGAGCTGGGAAGGAAACCTGAGCCTGTGTGTGCTCTCGGCCCACCATGCTTTACTGCCTCCTGTCCAACAAGGATGACCTGATTATGACACTCCCTCACAAAAGCCACAAAAGTTCATTTTGCCTGTGACCCTGATTTTGTCAGGAAAAAGATGTTCTTCAGTATTCAGTGGAAGAAGCCTAATGCATGTGCTCATTTGGTCTCCATGAACTCTAGAATGCTGCTCCCCTCTGATGGAGACCCTCTGTTCATCTGTGTTTCTAACTCAAGTAACCTGGCCGCATCAACTATAACCTAAGTTCTTTTCTGATGTTCTGGTTCTACAACAATAAATGCAGTACACTCATCTATCTTCCTAACTTCATCCTTTAAGGTTTGTGGCCTTAGACTCACCAACGCATCTTGTGGTGAAGACAGCAACCACAGCCCATTGTTCGGGAACTTAAAAAGACATTTAACACCCCCCACCCTCCAAACTCCCACATAGATCTTCTGTCTCCTAAACCTGCAACCCCAATGCCGCCTCACCTGATGACCCCGGATGGTGCGCAGGGAGAACATGCCAGTCTCCCCCTCATCTGCGATGGAAACCCCAGGCAGATCCATCTTCAGCTCCACACGCTCCCGCTGCTTTCTCTGCTCACGCAACAGCTTCTTTTTCTTCCTGAGGGAGTAGATTGAGAGAGTAAACGTGCCCAGCTCTGAAGAGTTTCTATCCATGCCTTGCATTTTCTTTTCCCATTGTCACACGGAGGATCCCTGCATTGGGAGACTCCATGCTTCACCCCAGCTCCTCACCTCTTTAATTCCGCCACCTCCTGGGCCTTTATTTCGGCCAGGGTACGGTTCAGTTGTTCTTCCTCCTCCTCCTCCTTAGAGGGCTGCTTTGTGGTCCCAGCTGTTGAGTCCTCCTCATCACCTTCATCTTCCTCTCCAGAGCTGAGGCTGGCAAAACAGTCCAAGGAGTTCAGTTATTTTCCTGACTCTTTCCCTCAACACCCCACCAACACCTGCCTGGCTGAGTTCCCTACTCACCTGATGTCCAGTGCCTTTGCTTGTTCTTTCAGCTTCTTGGCCACATACCGCCGAAGTTTTGTTCTCCAGTTTAGTAGCGACCTGCCCCAGAAATAAACTATTACTGGTCTTGCCATCTCCCTCTTTCTCCCTGCCCGCTTCTGTTTTAGACTCACTAACCAAATTTCAGGCTTTGGCTACATAAATCAAAAGGCTCAGGCCCTTACCCCAAACCTTTAGCACAGCAACATCCTCTTCCCAGAGATCCAACATCATGGCCTTTCCCTGCCTCCAGGGCTCCTGGCCCCCATGCCCACCCCACTGCATACCTGAGTTCCTTGCGCCCCAACACTCTGATGTCCTGACAGCACACCCGTATATCCTCAGTGGTGGCTGGATGCTGTGCCAACTCTTCATCATCTACCATGATCTGTTTGGGACGAAGGAAAGGAGATTCTCAGGCCATGTTTCCAGGGTTACCTCAAGTCCCTCAAGGCTGGAGACTCACTTCGCTGGCCTTGGAGAGGAAGTCAACAGGGTTGGCAGCTCGGAGGAAGTCAGTGACTGAGGTACGGTGATAGAGAGTGAGGTCACCCTCAGCATAGCCTTCGGCCTTAGGGAGAAAAATAGAGAAGGTTGGGCAGTCCCTTCTAGGGTATGAGGCCCAACCTCCCCAGAGTTCCAGGACCCAATGGTGACCGCATTCCCCAAAACACACCTTTGGCTTCTTCTTAGTTACCAATTCAGTAACAGTCTTAGCCTGAACTTCAACCTCCTTGAAGGCGAATTTGGGGTCAAAGAATTTACTGTCAACCTTGTCAGGGGCCAGGAATCCTAAAAATGACAGGATATGTTACAACTATGCTTTGGGAACAGGAAGGTTGGACCAAGAGAAAGGAAGTGATGCCCACCTTGGCAGACCACAAAGATCTCTGCAGATTCATGGCGAGACGCTTGGGGCTTGGTGGCCTGGACACGGCGGAACAGCTGCTGAAAGATCCATAGCAGAGGCTGATAGTCACGGGAACGGAAAACCTTTGTGATGAAGCAGCCACCACAGGCCAAAAAGTCACAAGCCAAACGCAGAGCCATCAGTGTCAAATGGGCTGTAGGACAGAGACAGCTGAGGCATTCTGCAGCCCAAGAGGGCATGTGCACACCTCCACCATCACCTGATCTCCAAGTGCCACACTCCCTGTACCTTGTGAGTAAGCATCATGGACCCAGCTAGCCCCAATGTTGGGGGCCCCATCATTTAGCACAACATCAACCTTCCAGGTCTTCAGCTCCTTCCTCAGGGCCTAAAGAGAAGAAAAGGAACTATAGAAACAGAAACACAGTAATAGGCCTAATTCAGCCATTTGTCCATCCAGTCATTCGTTGAGTGCCCATCATGGGCCAAAGGCTGTTCCAGGCACAGAAAATAACAAACAAAAATATTACGTTTCTACCTTCATGGAACGTAGAGTCTAACAGTAAGTTCACAGGAAAAGACTTCACTAAAGATCTCTGTCCTTCTCCCAATTCCAAACACCTTCATCCCTCACTCTAAATAAAGGCTGGAGTGGACACTATGGAAACCATGGGTCTTGTCATACAGATGTCAGGCAGGAGCGTGCTCAAAACATGGAACATCCTCTAAACTCTAGAGGATTCTGGGGATGTGGATGTTTGCATATAAATGGGAATGGAAGAGAGACTCCTATTACCTGCCTACAGCGTTCAGTTGTGATGTCCTCCTGGAGAGTCACCACATTGGGGAGAGGCTTGATTGGAACCAGGTCCACTCCTGGAAGAAATCAGGTCAGAGTATTCTAAAGGGTTGCCTCAAACAGGGAGAAGAGAAATACATGACAAAGTACCTCATACACCCATCCCTTAAAACACGGAGGAGAGCTGTCCTCACTCACCCACAATAAGGCTGGATACAGGCATAAACTTGGCAGCTACCTGCAGCCTATAAAAGGAATAGAGATTTTAAAAGCTAGAGCTCACCCTTTCCCTCTCTTGGCAACTGACCTCTCATCCCTGGTGTTACGTGCACTGGCCAGGGCATGTCATACGCACGTACTCTAAGCCTTTTGTCTGCAATCAAGAAAGGAAACGGTCCCCAAAGTTTAGGAGGTACCTATGCTCTGGGCTGTAGAGAAATCTGAGGCTGGAATTACTGTATTCCGGGAGGGGAATCCCGAATCCCGTCCTCCCGCAATGAAACTGGAATCCATCCCGGCTCTGAACCCAGAGAGCTGCCACTTGTGGCGAGTGTTACGTACCATCCCCCTGGCGCAGCACACAGATCCAGCAAGGCTCGTGCTTTCTGCAGGAACTGAAAGCGGCGATTGAGCTGGATCAGCTTGAAAGCAGATCGGGAACGGTAACCTGGACAAAACAACCAAGTGCCTAGAGGGCTTCACCAGCAGGATTTCTCCGGCCTTGTAAACCACCACCCGTTCTGCAGGAGAGGAACCCAATGGTCGGAAACTGGAGGCGAACCGGGCAGAGATCGCTCGCTCGCTCGCTTGCCCGCAGACAGCGAATCCGAATCCAGACTCACCCGTCTCCTTCGCCAAGTGATAAAACTTGTCCCGTCGGCTCTTGCCAACTTTGCCCTTCTTGCCCATGGTAGAATGGGGGAGTAATGCTCAATCTGAGGAGAAAGTAGAAGTTGGGAACGTCTCTTTCCGGAGCACCAGATTCTACTTCCAGTTTCCCACTTTCCGCAGCAATTCCACCTCGCGCCCGGTTCTACACACTCCACGTAGAGCCAGCGCTGCTTTCTCCACACTTGAAGCTGCACATGTACGCAGCAAACGTACTTCCGCTTCCGTTTGCGTCCCCTGCGTCCCTGGTGCAAGGTTTTCCGCCATTTTGCGTGTGGCCATAGATTTTTCTCGATACTCTGTCCTCGGGTTTTGTAAGTTGAAAGTTGGGACCAGGGAGGCATATTACAGCACTATAAACATAGTTTCTACGAGGCAACACTGAGGTGTTCTACTCCCTCTTCATCCTTTTCCAAAGTCCATGAACTCGAGTAGCCGCCCCTCCCATCATGGTGCCCTTAGTTAGTGCGGATTCGCCGCACACTCCGCCCATTGACCCGGAACTTTTGTCTGCCTAGTCGTCAGGTCCCAAGCCTTGTCTTCCGCGCCTGCGCTCCAAGACGGCTCGGATGCCGGCGGTCTCTGCTGAAGAGAGAAGATGGCGCTTGACGGGCCAGAGCAGGTATGGCGGCTGCAGTGGCGGCCCGGCGGGTTACGGGGCTGTGTGAGGAGCGGGTGTGATCTGGGTGGAGAGCGGGCCGGCATAGGAGGGTCGGGTGGATCGAAGGTGGCTGGACCAGTCCAGGCTGGACGCTGCGTGCGACCGGATCTGCTGTGTCAGCGCCGCCCTCGGTGAGTCAGGGCAAAGCTGAACAGGAGACACGGTAGAAGTGGAGTGAGTGAGGGGAGCAATGGGCGCGGGAACCGCTGGCCCGCGGGTCGCAGGAGATCGGACGCCCGTCCTTCGGCTCCATTTCGCTGGCTCCGTCGGCAGTAATGACAACTCGGGCTTGTAGAGCGCTTGACGCAGTGCAAAGCGCTCCCGTGTATATCATATCGCCCCTCGGTCCTCCTAAAAGTCTTACGAGGTAGGCGGCGTTCCCGTTCTTTTATTTTAATCATGAGAAAATGGAGGGTTCCAAGGGAGGGAGGGATTAGAACCCAGATCCCGAGCCTCCGAAGTCCAAACTTTTTTACTACGCAAAGCTGCCTGGTGTCAAGCCTAATTTAAAGTGCCCTGCAAGTGGCTTTACCCCCTCGGACGTTTAGCCTGTCGTTTAAGACTCACTTTGTGTCTTCAGATGGAGCTGGAGGAGGGGAAGGCAGGCAGCGGACTCCGCCAATATTATCTGTCCAAGATTGAAGAACTCCAGGTGAGGACAGACTCCACCGGGAGCTAGGAGAGGGGTTGGGAGGGATGGCAGCTGACTTCCACAAATCTAATTCCTCTGGGAGTGCAGTGGAAGAAGCTGCTGCTTCTCCTTTCTTGTTTGTTTCTTAGTGGGGTGTGTATGTCAGAAGTAAGCAATCTCTTGTTCTCCTCAAGTCCCACCCCTTTGAGGGTCCTGGTGTTCACAGTTTGTTCCACGTCTTCAAGAGTCAAATCTTAACAGAAAAGGTACCTCTAGCCAAAGGTCAACCCTTTTGGAAGAAGCCCGAATGTGTTTCCTTAGAAAAGGGAACACACAGGCTCAGGAGATAAGATTTATCACGAAGAGGTTGGGTCAGGGTGAAGTGAGAATGTGAGGAAAGGCATCATTGAGACGTCTGAACAATGCTCATTCCATGGAGACTGAATGAAAGAAACGGGGCAACCCAGAGCTCTAGCCTAAAGCACTGAACCATAGATAAAGGACAGTTTATGTTGTTAATCGACTGTTAATGTTGTCAGTAAGGCTTCCAGGAGTAAGGTGGTGTGGCTTCCAGTAGTAAGCCTTACTGCATAATACTTGCAGGTATTATGTTTAGTTTACCATTTTTGAATGCCTTTTCATGTGTTTTTATTTGTTCACCTCAGTAGTCCTGAAAAGAAGCAGGGCAGCTAATGCGATACCCACATGCCATTTGGTAATAGATCTAGATTTTTAAATACGGCTTGCCTTAGCTTTACCTTGCTTTTGATTTGACAGCAGCTGGGCTAGAACTCAGGCTTCTCACCTAAAGATCTTTCCCCTAGGTGATGTTGCCTTCCCGCAAGAAATTCCCTGTTACAGGAGCCAGCTGTAATTTTTCTCCATTAGATTCTGTTATTCCTGAACCACTATTGGACAACATAAACAGTGGGCTGTTAGTGTTACAGTGTTATATTACAGTGTTACAGTGGGCTATTAGTATTTTAACTTTGGACAAGTCCATGGATTTTCAATTTCGCCCTAACCCCAATTGACTGTTTATGTTGTCAGTAAGGCTACCAGTAGTAAGGTATGGCTTTCAGTGGTAAGCCTTACTGACAACATAAACAGTAGGCTATTAGTGTTAAGTGTGGTGTTATAGTGTTACAGTAGCGATTAGTAGTTTAACTTGGGACAAGTCCATGGATTTTCAATTTCGCCCTAACCTCCTGCATTGTTCAGGGGTCAGCTGTAATGTAAATTGGGTGGGGGAAAGCCACAAGGAAGAATTCTGAATTCCAAGTGCATTTGCAGGTATTATGTTTAGATAATCTTTTTTTTTTTTTTTTTT